ATATATATATATATATATATTATATATATATATATATATTATATACACAACATACACACACACACACACACACACACACACATAACATATATATAATATATAATATATATAATATATATATATATATATAATATATATTCATATATATAACATATATATACATATATATATAATATATATATTATATAATATATATATATATATGTATATGCATATATAATTTATATATATATATATATATATTATATATAATATATATATATATATATATATATTATATATATATATGTATACATATTATTATATATATATATATATATATATATACATACATACATACAAACACACACATACATACACACACACACATACACACACACACACACACACACACACATATATATATAGAGAGAGAGAGAGGGCGAAGAAAGGGAGTAAGGAGGATAAATTTACAAAAGCCAGAGCACAAAGCGAATGGGAGGGAAACGAACGAAGCGATGGAAAAGCGGAATTGGAAGAAGAAACAAAAGGCGAGGACTCGAGGTGAACTTGGAGGAGGGATTACAAAAGAGGCAGGTGTATTTGCATAAGACCTGTAAGATTTCAAATAATATGCAATTAAAAGGAAGGAGGAACATTTACAACTTATTTCCTCAACGGAATGCGTCGGCCATCGCGACGCCGACCCTTACCTGTGGGGCTGTTGCTCTGCTTCACGTAACCAGTTGTGGGCGTGAGGGTGGGCGTCGTGTTGGGCGTGAGGGCTGACCACATGTCTCGATCAGGGAGGGCGCCCATGGGCGGGAGAGGGGCGGCAGGAGCCATGCTCGTATAGACTCCGGGGGACCCGGGCTGGTACTCGCCCACGGCGCCGCCCCCGCTGTACGTGAGGGAGCAGGACGCCGCGTACATGTTGCTTCCGTAGGACGTGGGCGGCTGCGGGTAGGCGGGGTACTCTTGGTAGGACGGGTACTGGGCGTACTGGGTTGCGGGCGGCAGCTGGGAGCTGCAGACGTCGTAGGGCGGCGGCAAGGAGGGCGCGGCGCTCTGGTAGAGCGGGTACGGCTTCATGGCCTGCACCTTCCGGCGGAAGCCCCGGGGGCGCCGCCGGAAGGAGCCCTCCTCGAACATGAGCTCCGCCGTCGGGTCGATGGCCCAGTAGTGGCCCTTGCCCGGCCGCCCCATGGACTTGGGCAGCTTGATGAAGCACTCGTTGAGCGACAGGTTGTGGCGCACCGAGTTCTTCCAGCCGGTGTAGGTGCCGCGGAAGAAGGCGAAGCGCTGCTGCAGGAACTGGTAGATCTCGGAGAGCGTGAGGCGGCGCTGCGGCGAGCTCTGGATGGCCATGACGATGAGCGCGATGTACGAGTAGGGCGGCTTCTCTTGCCGCCGCGCGCCGCCGCGCTTGCCGCCGCCGCTGCCCTTGTCCGCCGTGCCGTTGGTGGCGGCGGCCGCCGGAGGGACCTCGCTCGGCACCTCCGTGATGGGCGGCGCCGGAGCCTCCTCGGGCGGCACGAGGGGCGCCATGGCCGCCACGCCGCCGTCCTCCTCGCCCTTCATGGCAACCGCGTTGGCCAGGAGCGCCAGGTCGCCGAACTCGGCCGCGCCCGCCAGGCTCTTGACGCCGAGGGCCGCGATGGTGGCACTGGGAGGCACCGCCGCGTCGAGCGAGGAGCTGCAGGTCGAGCCCGGGCGAAGCGAGAGACAGCGAAGCACAAGTTATCGAAGCGCAAGGACGACGAACGCAGGAGACGCGCACAACAGCTCACAGTCGGCGACGTTCGACCTCTGCCTCTCCCTGTCTGCCCCACACGACTGAGGTCTGAGTTTCAGGTCACAGTCCGCGCTAGGTCGGTTTGGCACTGGTCAGGTCGGACTCAGGTGAGCGTGCCACCACCTCATGCCCTCCCCCTGGCACTCACGGGCACCCCACGACGCATGCGCAGCCTTGGGGGCGGGGCATGGCGGCGGCACTGTAAAATGCCCCGATCATTATCCGCTTGTTTGTTTCGCCTGCCCGTGGCGCTGCCGAGCCACGTTGGGCGCAGGAAATCTTTTGGCTGTCAGGCGATGAACCTATAAAGTATAGAAGCGAAGTAAACTAAAATTATTTCCACTTTTCCCCCCTGAAGCCTTCAGAAGAGGCCAATCACCCATTATATCTGATTAATTGGCCAATTCAGCGTCCTCGCTATTAAGAACGGCCGATATGAAAGCGAGGTAGCGGGAAACGAAACATATTTTTTCAGCAATGAACATGGCTATTTCAGGCATCATCATTCACTTCTTTTCTGAGAACATGGCTGTGGGCGCCAACAAAATCGCTACCCAGACCACCCACATTCCTCTTCCCCACAAAGCCCCGCCTACCCAGAGCCAAGGGGCGGGGCTTGGTACTGGGGAGCCTTTGCCTGCTGATCATTGGTTTAAAGCCAGAGTGGGAGGGGCCGAAGGCATCTCTCTTCGCTCATTGGTTCGTTGACTATTTCCTTGGGATATTTTGTATTTAATGGATTTTCTAAAATCAAGCATCTTTAGTAATTTGTTATTTGGGTAATGTCTGTGACAAAAGTTTTTCAGAATTCTAAAAAGTTCTTGAAATTTGTCTTTCCCATTTACATAATTTTGGACCTTTACAAGACATTTTTTATTTCAGGCATTTTTTTCTGAGAAAAAAAGAGACTTTCAATCCTTGAATGCTGATTGTAACATATGCAAACCTTATTAGAAGAAAAAATAGAAAAGAAATCCACTGCTATAACATTTAACAGAATTCTACCCCCCTCCACCCCACCCAAAAAAAAGAGAGATTAAAAGCTAAAACAAAAATAAAACCCAGTCATTAAAGAACCTTCAGATTATAGATGCGAGCCCTTCATATCTCCAATGTTCACACAAATAACACATTACTTTAAAGAAATGAAAAAAATAAATGGGTATTGATGAAATTCGGTGCCTATATTTTAATACTTCAAATACCATTTATTATTTGCTCTTATTTACATGTTTGAAAATTTGCGAGTAAGAATTTTAAGATTTT